CCAGCTTTTGTAGAGTCTGAAACACATGACATTCGAAAGCCGTGAGCAGCAATTGCAAAACACAGCTTCATGCGTTTCTAGCTAATTCTTCATCTACTCCTGCGAAATCAACACCTCTTACAATGTATGATGCTAAAGTTACATCCTCCACGAATTTAGTTACTAATTCCGCCACTTTACCTTTTTTGAAAACCACTTGTAACGGAAAAAGAACAGTGAAAATCCCTCTGCAACTTCTTTGTTGAACAGTATTTTCATTTATTTGTTCCTTCTTCCTTTTGTGTATTCCAACCTTTGTTTCGATCTCGTTTAACTATGTCTTTTGTTCTTAAGTCTTCCCCGTTTGAGCCTTTATTATGTGATTTTGATTAAATACTTATTTTTGTTACCTAATTTTCTATTGCATGTTGCCGGACCATTGACAGTAAGGTTGTGTTTGACTAAGCTCAAGGTCACGGTGTGGTTCATTTTGTGACTGTTAACCTTCTGACTGTCTACTTGGGAGAATTGCTGCAATCCCTGCAGATAGATATTTGATCCCATCTTATTGGGAATATTTGTATTGATTCTCAGGTATCAAACCCTTTAGTATTAACTGTCTCTTTCATTGTTTAGCGCTCCACTTTGCGTTAGAAAAACTTCTGACGGTATAGCACAGGCTGTACCGTTTGAGGTATTTTGTATTTTTGATGTAATTTGTTCTGTTCTTAATTAGAACCGTTTATATTGAGCACAGAGTTTGTGTTTTGATATAATATAATACGAGTATCTCAAAGACGCGTTGTGAGCTATACAGAGGAACTTGGTCTGGTCTAATCGAATAAATTTTGGGTTCGTCAGTCCGTTGTTCCAACCGAATATTGGCTGTTCGGTCGTTACACCACTCGTACAGGAAGACAGGTACATATTCCCAAACGTTATGTTGAATTCATTACCTAATATTCCTCCCCTTATTTTTTGCAGTGCGGGTAAATACTTACACAATAGCAGAGATACCAATAACGTTTTTCACAAACAACTTTTAGAAATAAAACATTTTGTGTGTATTGCTGCCATTGAATAATACCTTATATTATCCTTACCGTATATGAGATTCGCAAGATATTCATTATTGAGTGTCTGATGACATTTAACTTTGTTGTATTCGTTCACCTTAGTACTAATCGTTTACATAGTATATATAAATAAATTCACAATATATCCGGAAAACTATCAATTTACTTCATGTTATTATTCTTATTATACATTTTATTACTGTTGTCAAACCTTTTATATACATTTATAAATACATCAAAAATAATGAACAAAAACATTTTTAACACAAAATATTTTTGTTCGTGAGTATATATACATTTAAAGACCACATTTTCCCCATGTCACTTTATGTGTAACCACATTTATATTCAATATCTATTGTTTTCTGTATCAGTAGTAAAGTAACGGATGTAAATCTTTGGTTATATACACACATACACTACATCGATTGTTAAATTAAATGCCATCTTTGTCGGCTGTTCTATTCCATTGGCCACAGCTTGTGATTGAGGATAATGGTATTGTGGAGGAGCTTCCGTTAACCAAGTGGACTCATTTGTGGTTATTACCTCAGAAGGAGCTTACAAGCGGTGTTTATTTCAAAAAAACCGTGATAATTTTGTTATTTTATATACAGTTCACATTATAGCAGTAATTTGTTGACGTCTCGCTCCTCTCATAGGTAGACACTTCAGTTTGTAGTTTTAATTCTTTTTGGTACATCATTTGTAACTTTGCGTATTGCTAAATCTTGAATAAACGCTTCTACTGAAATCCGACACACGGCACTCAGGGTAGTGTGTCTGAACAACGGAATGTTAAATACCACACCTTCAGTATGTTTGTACACCTGGATGACCGATACGAAGCTCAATTAAACTGAGATAATTATTGAGAACTGTCATATTCCATATAACGCAGGTGACTTTTGTGGGTCATTTTGAGGTTCTGAACCATTCAGTCCATTTTCGTTTCCTCAAATCATCATAATGACCTCAGGTTGTAATAATGTTTTGACAGTGATAGGAGACTAGTTATGTCATTCACTCAATTTTAATTCTGATGTAGACGTTCTTCAGTCATGGCCAAACATTTACAACATAGTTCTACAAATGCGACACATTTGCGGTGGTGTTGTTCAAGAGATTCTACCAGTACTTTGAATCGCTCCATCAAGCAACGCCTTTTAGTCATACAACTTGCAGTTAACAAGTAGTCTTTTTTGGTATTTGAATAAAAACATCGTTAATTTACAGAAAACCGTTGCGATATCACTGACTAAGAGGGCGGTTTCTTATGTCCAGCCTTTCAAAAGCCGTACTAAAATCACTGAAGGTTGCACCCATAGTTGACTTCCTATATTTCGGAACACATTCGATTTTTCATTCAATAATATTTTTATGAGAAACGAACAAAATGTTTTAAGACCATGCGGCTTTCAAAGGCAGTCAGATTTTTATCGAGGTACGCCAGTAAATCATTGATAGTAATGTTTCTAGAATCTCGACCACCTGTTACGTCCAAGTACGAGTTTTCGCCCGTTCCAGTTATTGAAGTATTGGCCGTCGATATTCGCAAATCACGAACCCAAGTAGGCTAGAGAACCAAAACTCCAAATCAGGTACCAATTTTATTCGCAATTCGCAAATAATCGACCAAAAGTCGTTCTAACAACAATAATTATAACAATTACAAAATAAACCTTCAATTTTGTAGGTTCCTGGAGGAAAACTCCCAAATAACAAACCAAAGACAAAGGGAGCACCAAAATGTCCGAAAATATTTATATAAACGAACATGCCCAAGAGTTCAGTAAGACAATTACGTCCAAAAACACTGTGAATTAATAATATTTAAAATAAACCTTTTTATCAGTCCAACGTCTTCAGTTCTCCCACAACACCACCTCCATCTCGGCGTTCTTTTTTCATCGGAAAACTTGATTAAAATAGTCACGTCATAGCAATTACACACTAATAAATAGGTCTTTTTTGTTGGAAAATATAAGTGTTCCAGAGCTGATCATGGACCGAAACTTAAAAGTGGTAATGATGTCATGAAAGTTTTGTGCTTTTTCTGTGATACCTTTACGATGGGGGATCTCGGATACAGCAAACCCAGTGGCCAGGAATCAAGAATGTCAAGGGTTAACTAGGAGTATGTTCGATATGTCAAGGAGTGTTTGATCTTAATTGACCATTTGTTGCAAGGGACGGGCGGTAATACCTAACCAGTAGTGACCCGTTGCGGGGCGCCTTCAGCTAGGATAAGTCCAATAAATCAAGTGAGATAAGAGTCAGAGTTGAAGAACTACTGAACTATTTATTTTCGGGATTTACGTACCAACATGGAAGCATCACTTTCAGGATATACTATCTGATAACTCTTTAGACTGTCCCGATTGAACCTGTCAACCAAACGATTCTGTTTACTCTGTATCTTCTTACGCAAAGCTTAATCATAGTGAGCATTGTGCTTAAATGATACAACGTACAAAGTATATGACTTTGACCATATGTGTGACCTATTTCCGGATACTTGATTCACCTATATTTTAACGACCCTACAACATCGTTTAAGTTCAGCGGCCTGATAAAACTGTTGCTCTCCACAATGAGGCGGTGGGCGTTGTTAGTATTCGGTGACCTAGCAAATCGACATGACGACCGTTTTTGTTTCACAAAGATGCAGAACAAACATTAAGACGCTCTGCACAGTATGCACCGACCGAATCTTACTTGGCGGAGAAGCTTTGAAGAATGTAAGTCCTTCATATATCTGGGCTGCATCATCGATGAACACTGTGGATCTGATTCAGATGTGAAGGCGCGTACCGGTAGAGCAAGAGCATCACATTTACAACTGAAGAACATCTGGAACTCAAAACAACTAACAACCAACACCAAGGTCAAAATTTTCAATACAAATGTCAAGACATTTCTACCGTATGGGCCAGAAACCTAGAGTACTACGATAGCCATTATTCAGAGGATACAAGTGTTTATTAACGGCTGTTTACGCAAAATACTTTTGATCCGTCAGCCAGACACTATCAGCAGCAACCTATTGTAGGAGAGAACAAACCAGATTCCAGCGAAGGATGAAGTCAGGAAGAAGCGTTCGAAGTGGGCAAGACACACATTGGGCAAAGTACCCAACCACATCACAAGGCAAGCTGTCACATGGAATCATCAAGGCCAAAGGAGAAGAGGAATACCAAAGAACATATCACGCCGATAATTGTAGACAGATATGATAAGAATGAACAGCTGGATAGAGCTAAAAAGGAAGGCCTAGGACAGAGTGTGTTGAGGAATGCTGATCGGCGGCCTATGCTTCTTTGGGAGTAACAGGCATAGGTAAGTAAATATGTAGGCGTAATCTAAAGAACATATCAGACTATAAAAACACTTAATAAACCATTTGCTACGTACGAATCTCTCAAGGAGTGATTTTAGATTTGCTTTGAAACAGCTACATGCTTCAGATAAATATGCCTGTCAATTGACTTATGGTAAGGAGTCTGTTTTGTTTGAATTTTAATAGAAGAGAAAGAATTATGACAATCCGAAAGTTACTAAGCATTTTAAACTAATTAAAAAGTAAAATTATGCGTCGATTGCTAAGGCGAATTCAGAACCAATTTCCAAAATGCCGTTTATTAAAGTTCAAACTACTAAACGCATTTTAACTACTTGAAAATGAGTTTTTTTTCCATACCATGATCTATCAGCTAACAAAGAACTAACACTATAAAAGGAAAGTTTACTCGTGGATAATTCAGAAAACTTCATAAAATTCTTTCTACAGACAGATTCGTTGTCGGAAAACACAACCTCTGTATTCATCGTATTCCCTTACGAATATTTTAGACATTGTTTCCTGATAACATTTTTATTCCACTTCTTTATTGTTTTTCTTTGTTGTGGAAACAGTAAGATTTACATTTGAATATATATTGATTGCTTTTCTATGAATAAATAAATTTTTGATTCCTCTAGTATTCATTGGATATTGGATTGATGTCTACTGAGGTCATGATCGGTGTTTATTTTGAGATTCTTCGTTACTTCTTATGATTTAACAGAGTAGTTCTGTTCTACAGGTATTTCATCTGAACTTCATACTGATTCCTCATTCTATAATATTTATCCCTGATGTTTAGATTTGAGGATGAGTGCCACTTGTTTTCAACTATTTTCTAGGTTGAAAACCTCGGAACTAACATAATCATTTAGATGTATTTGACTTTTTCACCACATATACAATAGTCTATTCTTAAAAAATTCAAGTCCGTAATCGATGTATGTGTGTTTGGCATTATACAGGTTGTCTTTAACTCTCCCTTGGTGGATATAATCGCTAACCAACATAGATTCTGTTTTTATTTCACTTCCAAAGTATCGGTGCCATAGTAATTCACCTTAATTATGTACTTATTGAAAAGTCTGGGCGGTACATTTGATATTTATAACCATAATCCTAAATGTATATGGTTTAGTGTCGATTTCTAAGAACCCGTCCATTATTTTTAGTTGTCAAAATGTGCTTTACTAATACCATCTTCATAATTTTTTCACAGTCACTCATATTGAGTAAACATTTGGTAGTGCTTGCTACTGACGCTCAGTCTAATTACATAAACTAATCATAAATCAGCCGAAATGCATTAAGATTTCTTCATTCCATCAATGTAGCTGAAAATACTGTTCACTTTTAAGCCATAGGAAAAGCGAATTTTATGCATACTAAATGGTTACTGCATTCCATAGTACAATCTTTTTATCTCTGGACAATGCTTTGTAATCCTTAGCGGCAAAGTACGATTAAGTCCAACGATAATTTGGTCAATCTGGCAATAAAATGTTCTTCAACTAGTCGTAGACACATCGAGAGCCCTGGCCTGTCCGACCACGCTTACCGACATATATCCGTCATCTAATTTCCTGTTGGCCAATCGTTCTATGTAATGCAATAAAACTTCAAACTTCTGATTAATATTTAATTTTTCTGTTTTAACACGTAGTATAGTTTAACTGGTGGTTAATAGAACATAAAAATCTTGTATTATCACTTGATAATTGATCCTTCTCCAAATTAATTTTAGGGTATAATAGACTGAGGACACTAATGAACTCTTGATACGAATGAAATAATGAAGAAGTTTGAATCTCACTCGTGTTTCTTCGGATGGTGGTTTATATACATCCCTCATATTATAGATAAATAAGATGCAAAAGATCAATTTAAATTTGCATGTTGAACTCAACGATGAGTGAAAAGTTCTAACACCATGGTGACCAATGGTAATGGGTCTTAAAAATTGCAAAAACCAAAGGATAATATGATACAAGTGATTAAACATTCTTGGTTCTCAGATGGGCTTGCTTTAAAAACTAGTTACCTAAACCATTGTTGGGAGACAAATTAATCACTCATTATTCGTAAGCACTTTAAGTTATGGAGTATGGTGACTAAACTTTTACCTATAGTTTTAGTAATCAAACATTTCTCTATAATCCATCCATAGGTTACAGGAGACACTAATATTGTCCTTCAACATTTGGTTGAACCTATGGATATTTTAACATATCCTCCTTTCTTATTTGACGACTTAAAACATCTATGAAGATTTGCCATAAAGTTTTACTTACATTTATAGTTTCCTCTAAACGAAATTCTACTTTTGGTTGATATGTTTTAGATATGTCGTCTGGGGACACCAATTCACAACATAAAGAGAGTTTAATGCATGAGATCAATGCATTGTTTGCTCCACCAACAAATGAATCATACGGTAAAAAAGGTTCACTCGGTATTGTAAGTTTTTTCGTAATCTTACCTACATATAAATATTTAATTGTTATTAGCCTTCTTTTCGTCGCGCAAGGAAAAACAATGAATCAACGACGAACAGTTCAGAAACAAATAATTCCAGTTTAGAGCACTACCAACTACCGAATACATCTGGAAAAAATGATCCATTTTGGAGGAAACCTCGTGCTAATTGTCATGAATATTGTGATAGTTGTGGTTGTATTGAAGGCGAAAGACTTGTCTGCGACCGATGTCCAGCCAGCTTTCACCTTGAATGTCTTGACCCACCATTAGATCCGGATGAAGCACCTGTTGGTGTCTGGTTTTGTCATCGATGTTCAATGGTGTTGAAAGTATGTCAACCCGGACTTCATATTTATCAATCAAATATTTACTTTGTTCACTGACAATTAAACGATAATACTAAGTTGATGACCTTCATTTGCTTAACATAAAACGTCTGATTTTACGTTAAGCTTATGTTTTTTAACTTGACTATTTATTTTATTAAACTATTTGTAAGTAACTGTAATTTCAAGTTTATGTATATAGAATATTGCTGACCCTTTAGAACCATATAAGTCACAAGTGTTGGTAATTTGTTTCTATACAGAAACTGCATGGTGACATACTTGTTGCCAGAAGTGAGCATAACTTCGGGTGTACAAACTTTCATGAAAATCTAATGTGATTTATCAGCTGTTTAGTGATCTCTAATCTTCAATGGTTTTTCGCTTAGTGTCTAGCTATGATGATGGCCATTCTCAAATGTCATTTCTTTAAGTACCTACGTAATTAAACAGAAATCAGATGAATTCCTTTGAGTTCTTTCTCATTTTCTTTTTCTGTGTGTTGAAATGTAAAGTTTATCAGCTTTACGTGTATCATGTTCGTTCCAGGTCTTATGTTACTTGTACCTGGATGTCTGTAAAATATAAGCTCATCTGTTCAAATAGTCTGAGTTAACAGAAAGATTTGTTAATTAAATTCATCCTATTAGCATTTTTGTTTTACAAATATGCATATTCAACACACCACATATATTTACCAGCCGATATTTTTTTCATTTCCAAATTTATTTATTCATTCCCTTTTTAATATATAATAGGATGAAGAAGATAAAACTTCAACATCAAGTAGTCAAACAACTATAGCTACAGATACAGGTTCTTCACGTTCTGGTAAAAGTGGACAAAAACGCCAAGATCAAGCATCATCATCATCAGTTGGAACTACAACAGCAGCAACAGTTGGACTATCAGCTTCCACTTCTACATCTTCCATTAGTAATAACAATAATAATAGTCATTCTCACCAACAAAATTCACTACAACAATTTATCCAATCACAAACTAGCAAACGTCATTATACATTCCGTTCGACATTTAACGAACAATATTGTTTAGATATGAATAAATTATCGAGTAGTCGTTCCAGTACTTGGGGTGATTCAGCGTATGTTGCTGATATTGAAGAATCTGAGCTAAGAGCATTATGGAAAGTAATTGAATATGCGAAATATCAAAATCCAAAAGAATATGATCTACCGAAAGACTTATTACCTGGTGTTAAGCTTCCTGGTAAGTATAAACGTAGGTGGGTCTTTTCAATAAAAATGAACACACTAAATTCATAATCATACCTTTTTAATAAGTTTAGCTCAAGTCTAATTTATGTTATTTTAACTGAATTCCCATTCTTAACGACATATTTATTTAATCTCCATATGCTTTGTTTAAAATATTTCTGAAAGTTCTCGGAAGCTAGACTTTTTGCCTACTATTTCGTTTAACACTACTAGAATTGTATGCATAAACAATTTTCCAAATTTCAGTCCAACATTCATCATTAAGGTAGAGAATTGATCGGCCGAGTGGCAAATAAGATCAAATACATCAGCACAGAAGATCAACAGTAACCCTAGCTTTGTACCATTCTTGGAAACTTCAATAACCCTACAAAAATAAATTGATTTACTTTTAAAAACCCATCTCCATAAATAGCCTCCAACATTTTATGAATTTTTCACAAGTTTCGACCAGATGTCACCCTAAACCTCAATAGTTTAGTTGACACATTTATGGACAATTCTCAAGTGTTTTAGGTTTAATTTTGTGTTCAGTTTTGTATATCTACAGCTGATTGAGTATTCAAACAGGAACGAAACAATTGTTCAAATAATAGCACCACAATTTATAACTTAACAATTAAATTATGTAACTGTATATTAATCTTGTTCAAATCCATTTATTTATTGAATTAAAAAAAGTATTTCATCACTATACTGGGGATTCATCTAAAAAATCCTCGTGCTTGTTTTATATTTTCTTTTGTAGCCTAAAGGTAAACATCCAACTACAAGAAATATAAAAGGCTTGATGTATTATTATTATTATTTTATTATTATTTTGACACATAGATATTGGTACAAGGAGGCACCAAATACATATGCGCCACACAAATTTCATTTGATATGTGTGAGGGCTGGGATACTGCCCGGATGCCCAGACCGAAGCAGGTGGTTTTCTTAGGGGGCCACTTCCCGAGCCTTCGACCTGAAGGTCTGACCCACAAGGCAGTGGAGCATCGTAAGGAGATGCAGTCCCATAGTAGCCGGTGACCAACAATTGATTCATACGCCATTTGTTCCCGCAGGATACTGGAGCTCATGTGCACCATTGGTTTGGAATCCGGTTAAAGCTCCGAACATTCGCTTTTCGTCCTCCCGTTTTCGTAAACAACCCCCCGCCACGAGAAGGCAGTGAGTAGGACTTCCCTGGCAGAGGCTATATACGCGTGACCATGTGAGAGCATTTCAAGAGGGAGGGCGGACTTTCCCCACTCTCGGCCATACCAGGGCATTTGGGGGCCTTGATACATTAAGTATATTCCTTTTAGATCTCACTTGCTAACTACTATGTATTGTGGGATAATTCACTGTAGTTCTGATCTAACATAGTTTTTGATCGAATAGTTAGATAATTGAGTCGTATATTTCACGTAATCATATATTTTGGTATAATATCTACTGCTAGTGATCTGAACAATGCAGAGCTCTATCCGTTATAACGTAGGCTACCTTCATTTTGAAATATTAGATATGTTTTAGTGTACAGTAGTCTAGAGTAATCTGCTTATTACCACATAACTGTCTATTTCACATTTGTTTACTAGTGGCTTCCTTTACGAAAGAATAGAGTTACTGATTAACTTAACTTGGTTTATCTCATTGTTAGAGAGGATTTTGATCTGTTATTGATAATCTTCATTTAATTTTGATCAGTTTTCGTTGAAACATGGGCTTCAATATGACTGTTTTTCACAAGTTTTTCTAGAATAGATGCATTTATAGCTAGCAGTACATCCCAGAACGCGTGTTTCGTTCTATATGGAACTCATCGCATGAATATACGTGCATCCCAGTACTGATGTTTACACTGAGATTCAAACAACAAGCTAATTCAAGTTTATTCTAATAATAATATAAATGTCACATCCATATCACAGGTAAGTGGCTATCTGCATTAAGTTTTTGAAGCGAAATGTATTGCCCCCGAGTTCTTTTGCGGATACGAATACGGGTATACGAGTATATCTAACTAACTAGTCCCAAATACAATAAAAATGTCCATTATATGTTTCCTTGCTAAATACAAATCCACCTATACTACGTAAATTGGTTCTCGATTTTTTTATTATTCAAAACTAAGGAAGAAATTAATACACCAATTATCTTGTTCATCTGGACTTTTTTTCCGATTACCTGTTAAGGTTCATATAAAACACCAACAGAACGAAAAAATAAAAGTATCATCGAATTAGAGAATGGTCTTATCCCGCAACCTGTAAGACGTTGTTATGTATGTGTTCGGTAAGTTTAAAATGCTTTTTATGATTATATACATATATACATGATATATTACTCACATTATTCAATTTTTGAATGTTATGACAAGTTGTTTTTGCTTACATTTATGATTGTCTTATTTCAAATTTGTCCGAGTTGATGTAGCTTAATCTAAGTTAAACATCAACCAACAATCAATGTGTTTTTAAACTTACTTACGCTTGTTACTCCTCGTGAAGGAATATAGGCCATTCACCAGCATTCTCCATCCAACCCTGTCCTGGGCAATCCTTTCTAGCTCCTTCCAGTTGTTATCCATCCTTTTCATTTCTGTTTCTATTACCCGACGTAATGTGTTCTTTGGCCTTCCTCTTTTACCCCTTCCTTCAGGATTCCGAGTCAGGGCTTGCCTCGTGATGCAGTTTGATGATTTCCGTAATGTATGTCCTATCCATTTCCATTGTCTTTTCCCAATTCCCTCCTCTGATGGAAGCTGGTTTGTTCTCTCCCACAGAAGGCTGTTGCTGATGGTATCCGACCAATGGATGTTAAGTATCTTGAGTAGACAAGTATTTATAAATACTTGTACCTTCTTAATGATGGTTGTAGTAGCTCTTCAAGATTCAGCTCCATACAGTAGAATTGCCTTGACGTTGGTATTGAAGATCCTCACTTTGATATTGGTTGAAAGTTGTTTTTAGTTCCATATGTTGTTCAATTGTAGGAAAGCGGCCCTTGCTTTACCAATCCTCGCCTTTACGTCTGCATCTGAACCTCCTTGTTCATCGATGATGCTTCCCAGGTATGTGAAGGGTTCTACATCTTCCAGAGTTTCGTCATTATGAGTGATTGGACTGCTATTCTCCGTTTTGAATTTGAGGACCTTGGTTTACCCCTTGTGTATGTTGAGGCCTACTGATGCAGAGACTGCTTCTACACTGGCTATCTTTATTTGCATTTGTTCCTGTGTATTGGATACGAGGGCTAGGTCATTTGCGAAGTCCAAATCGTTTAATTGGTTCTGAGCTGTCCATTGTATGCCGTGTTTTCCCTCAGATGTCGAGGTTTTCATAATCTAGTCGACCACCAGAAGAAAGAGGAAGAGAGAGAGTAGACAGTCTTGTCTGACTCCGGTCCTTACTTGGTGGTTTTTAAACTAGAAACTCAAAAATGTTCCTTGTTCTTTACTAGTAAAAATGAATAAAAACATTGACAAATTCATTTCTTATTGCTTTCTCAATAATAGTAATAAATAGTTTTTAATGCTTCTAATGATCGCTGTCCGAAAATACAAATTGTAGGTCTTAGAATTTAAGTTTATGTATTTCATTTAAAGATATAATAACGATTCAATACAGTATCCTCTTTGTATAGATTTGGTTAGAAATTTTTAGAGATAAAACATTTTCTAACACTATCTGTTTAGAGTGGTGAGCCACTGAGTATCATGTTCAAACCTTGTTTTACATACTTCGGTTTGGTCAATCGATGATTATAAGTAACTCGAAGCCAAATACATGAATATCTGTACTTAGTAAACGAACTGATCACTAATATATTTAACTTTTAAAACTGAATACGATATCTATCACTAGAAACGTTAGAGCAACACTATCCACCATAATACTGTATAAAAAGAACTACCACTGAAGTGGTCATTAATTGAGTTACAAAATGGACACTGACTCTTTTATTTTTACATGTTAGATTTATTTCGTTTTCCCGTCGTTAATATGTTTAAAACATACGATGTATATTAAAGTTATAGTTTGTTTCAAGAGTCTACTCAGTCAGTCAGTCAGTCAGCTGTAACGTAGGACGAGGCACATATATGCATCGGTCCAAGTTGTCACATCGCATTAGTACAACAAGATGAACAATAACTTTGTAGAAGTATCTACTCCAATGGTAGTAATCTATAAAAGAAAGATTGTGTATAAGGATATAATACAGGAAGAAAGAATTAGTTGGTAGAACGAAAGGTGTACACATCGGTTCTGAGTCATGTCACCCTGAGTCTCCAACGATTGGATACGATAGTCATTCGGACCCCAACTAAGTAGTCTGCATCTATTAACATGGCTCAGACTATAAGTTATGACGTTAAAGACTGATACCACATTTTGGGTTCTCGCTTCTAACTTTCGTACATCCCTCTCCAATACTGGTATACGTAACACATGGCCCAACCATCTCAGCTGATGAAGATTTACAACTCCGCGAACTGATTCACCATCATTCCATAACACCCTGTGTCTAACCTCACTATTAATTACCCGGTGATCTCAGCAGATGCGAGCAATATTTCTAAGACTTCTGTTGTCAAATACTAGCAACTTAAGAGTATCTTCTACTCCTAATGGCCACGTTTCACAGCCGTAAAGTAACTGGTAAATACTCGTCAAATAACCATGCCATTTTATACTACTATCATTGTATATCACTAAATCATGAATAACATTAAAGCAATTTAAGTTTTAATTCATTATTCAAGCCTTCCTCCCTCTGCACTCCTTCAGCTTCCCAAATATTAACATTTGTAGAGATAATATAATCGGTTATTGTTTTAGCATGGATATCAAAACCAATAATTTGTTCGGTGATTACCCCTTTTAATGACAATACGCTCTGATAATCATGCTATCGCAAGTTCAGATTCAAGATCGCATGTGGTTACATACTAAGATAATTTGTTTTTCAGTTTGCTATGTCTTTACTTATATTTGAGCGAAGAAAATGTGTGCACATCGAAACACTAAATACTTACTTACGCCTGTTACCCCCAATGGAACATAGGCCTCCGACTAGCATTCTCTAACCCACTGCGTCCTGGGCCTTCCTTTTTAGTTCTATCCAACTGTTGTTCATTCTTCTCATGCCTGTCTCCATTTACCGGCTGTTGTAACGGGTGACTGCAGGTTATGATAAGCAGCGTTTTATTGATCGATTACAGTGACACGTAAAACACGTAAGGACGACCTAGAGTCCCGATTGGTCCCGCTTCTCTGTCTAGTCCAGCCAGTTGAGTCTAGAACGCAAGCCACAGCCTCTGAGTTATGAATCATTATATTTCACACATACTCTATTTATATACTAACCAAACAGACCACATCGTACCATAAAAATAGAAAACAACATCTGTACAATATTTAACGAGTGAAATAAATAACGGCCAATAGGAAATGTTCATTTAACGTCAAAGGACATCATTAGACTTAACATGATAATGATTGGCACATTAATCCTTAGCATCCATAACACCGGCGTAATATGTTGTTTGGTCTTCCTGTCCTCTTTTGGCCTTGAGGATTCCAAGTGACGGCCTGCCTTGTGATGTAGTTGGGTACTTTCCTCAATGTATGTCTTATCCACCTCCAGCTCTTCTTCCTGATTTCTTCCTCTACTGGAATCTGGTTTGTTCTCTCCCACAGTAAATTTTTGCTGTAGAAAACTAACTTGCTAAAAAAACACACTAAATAAACATCTCAATCACACTTAAACTAATCACAATATTCTTAATATTCATAGTTATATCCTCAAAATTTATCGCTAAGGTTAGGCTCAAAAACTACCATCTTTTTAATGCTAGTCGAATGAATGGCCCCCAAATGCCCTGTTACGGCTGAGAGTGGGGAGAGTCCGCTCTCCCTCTCGAAATGGTCTCACATGGCCACGCGTATATAGCCTCTGCCAGGGAAGTCCTACTCACTGCCTTCTCTTGGCGGGGGTGTTGTTTACGAAATTGAAAGGACGAAAAGCGAATGTTCGGAGCTTTAACCGGATTCCAAACCAATGGTGCACATGAGCTCCAGTATCCTGCGGGAACAAATGGCGTATGAATCAATTGTTGGTCACCGGCTACTATGGGACTGCATCTCCTTATGATGCTCCACTGCCTTGTGGGTCAGACCTTCAGGTCGAAGGCTCGGGAAGTGGCCCCCTAAGAAAACCACCTGCTTCGGTCTGGGCATCCGGGCAGTATCCCAGCCCTCACACATATCAAATGAGATTTGTGTGGCGCATATGTATTTGTTGCCTCCTTGTACCAATATCTATGTGTTAAAATAAATAAATAAGTCGAATGAATTAACCTATGATAGGCCCGAGTCAATCTGAAACTTAAAGTTATTATAACAATCAGAAAACATAAAAAGTATGAATTAGGGTTTCATAATAAATGCTAGGACTAGGATTTAAGCTTTAAGATTATAATTTATGTATTCAACTATTTGTTCAATTAATTTATTTCTAAACATTTGTTTTTCAGAACATGTTTCTATGCTCCTTTGTTACCATGTGATTATTGTTCATCATGCTTTCATTTAGAATGTTTAAATCCACCATTATCTCATTTTCCACCACGTTCTGATCGATGGATGTGTCCAAATCATACAGAACATACAACTGAACGTTATTTAACTCGTTCAATACGATTAACTGAACGTATGCAAATTTGGACTAAATTATATTCATCATTAAATAATGAAAATAATCATTATGAACAATCTATTGATAAAACTGATGAAATGACAAAAATACTTGAACATATACCTCCATATGAATTAACTTATACACCAGATGAAGAAAGTTCTATACTTTCTGATTTAATGCGTACTATTCAACGTAGTAGAAATGAACAACAACAACAACAGTATCAATTATTGTCATCGAATTTATCCAATACAGCAATGTCAAGTATTTTCGATTCAATACTATATACTACTAATAATACTACTACTATTAAAGATAAACAACATATATTGTCCAATCGTCATTTATGGCGTTTAAATCGTGAATTAGCAGCAAAATCTAGAAATAATCAAAATTATTATGATAAACAGATAAGAATTGTGGTAAGTATCCTACAATTTTATATGTCAGTTAATCAGTCAGCTACAATGTAGGACCAGGCACATATATGCATCGGTTCAAGTTGCCATACCTCATTAACACAACAAGATGAAAAGCGGATTCATAAAAGTAGTTAATTCAAAGGTGGTAATATATAAAAGAAAGATTGTGTGTAGGGATATAATACAGAAAGAAAGAATTAGTTCGTAGAGAGAAAGATATGAAGTGATTTTAATCTCTTAGTTTAAGGGAAGATAGAGAGTGTATACACCTACGCCGTTGTGATCGATTCTGAGCCATGTCACCAAGAGTCTCCAACCATTGGTTACGGTAGTCATGTGGACCCCAACCAAGTAGTCTGCACCTACCATCAACATGGCTTAGACCAGAAGTTAGTGTTCTACAACTTATTAAAGAAATGAAGATAACAGATTTGTCGGAATACACAAGGTTATATATTCAGCTTTGAGTTGCACCTTTGTTTAATGTAACATCTAGTGATACTGATAAGCTGAGCAAACGGAAGTAGGTATCATAAAATCAGGAATCTATTATTGATCTAATGCTTAAACTGGATTAATATGGAGGATTCACTTAGGGAAGTTGGAAAACTCTGATTTCAAACTAATGCTACACATGTTTTCTAAGATCTTGAGGGTATAAATGGTGTATGAACCTATTGGTGGTCACTGGCTATCATGTGACTGAATCTCCTTACTTTGCTCCTTCGCCTTATGGATCACACCTTTAGGTCGAAGGCTCCTGGTGTAGGGCCCCCTTAAGAAAACTACCTGCTTCGGTTTGGGCACCTGGGCAGTATCACAGCTCATACACAAATCAAGTGGCCTATATGTATCCGGTGCCTCTTTTTAGCAATATTTATGTGTTCAAATAAATAAATAACTTTGAAATACCGATGTACCCCTTATTCTATTGTCGGACCAATCAGTGTTAATTACCTAGTAGTCATGCTATTATAATTTTAGACTGATTTTTTTTAATGTATGTAGAGTTGTATTTTTAATAGTTCCTTACATTCAAAAACCAAAGTACTGTTTTCTGATATAACTGAAGTATTGTGGAATAACGGGCATTGATGTATGGGCGAGAATGATAATGTCATTGAATGATTGCTATTGAATTGTGTCAGCTTGTTGTCGGTTTTTGATGTGGAAATATATTTACATTCTAGTCAGACTAACTACGTGTTCTTGATCTGAATTGTGTTGAAGTCCTATAGAATAGATATTGTGAGAGGGAATCTAGTGTAGATATTCATCTAAAGTAAATTAACTTTGTTGTTTTGATTGATGTTATTAATTCAGTTATAGTATTTATATCCCTTATAAGATATATCTATACTTTTTATCCCTTATCTATCAAGGTACCAAAAGCAGTTAAACATTTATACAATAATCCAGTAAAACGAATTCCACGTATTAATGAATCATCAAATGTATATCAATTAACAAATTTACTTGATAGTTCCAGTACAGATGAAAAGAGTATAGTAAGCTCATTCTTTTCTTTATAATTTCTTCCGTTATTGTTATGGTTTTGAGTTTCTGGTTTGATTTGTTCGGTATTTCTTTATTTGTAGATTCTTTTTTCTGTTTTGATCAGTCGTCACTTTCCATTGACGCAGGCCCTCAAATGCCCTGGTACGGCCAAGAGTGGGGAGAGTCCGCTCTCCTTTTTGAAATGCTCTCACATGGTCACGCGTATATAGCCTCTGCCAGGGAAGTCCTACTCACTGCCTTCTCTTGGCGGGGTTGTTGTTTACGAAATTAAGAGGACGGGAAGCGAATGTTCGGCTCATTAATTAGGTTGTAGGAGACTTAAGATCCACCTAAGGAGTTGGAAAACCCTGATTCCAAACCAATGGTGTACATGGGCTCCAGTATCCTGAAGGAACAAACGGCATATGAACCAATCATTGGTCACCGGCTACCATGGGACTGCATCTCCTTACGATGCTCCACTGCCTTGTGGATTAGACCTTCAGGTCGAAGGCTCGGGGTGTGACCCCCTTAGAAAACTACCTGTTTCGGTTTGGGCACCCGAGCAGTATCACAGCCCTCACACATATCAAATGAGATTCGTGTGGCGCATATGTATTTGGTGCCTCCTAGTACCAATTTCTATGTGTTAAAATAAATAAATAAATAGACGCAAACTATTACAGAAAGACTGTAAATTAGTCGATGAGGTTGTAAATTTTCATCGACTGATGTGATTGGGCAACATGTTACGTATGCCTGAATACCGATTTCCCCGGCACACAATGCTGACTACTGTTGGAGACGGACGGGAGAAAGTTAGTGGCGGCCAAACCAAAATGTGATATCAGTACATAACGTCACTAAATTCAAGTCTGAGCCATGTTGGTAGATGCAGACGACTGGGTTGAGGTCGGCATGACTATTGTATCCAATGCTTGGAGACTGGGTGACATGACTCAGCATCGATCACAATGGCGTAGGTGTATATACTCTTTGTCTTCCCTTAAACCGTGAGTTTAAAATTACTTTATGCCTTTCTTTCTACCAACTAATTCTTTCTTCCTGTATCATATCATTATATGCAATCTTTCTTTTATATATTACCACCTCTGAATTAACTACTTTTATGAATCCGGTGTTCATCTTGCTGTGCTAATGAGGTGTGGCAACTTGAACTGTTGCTTATATGTGCTTGGTCTTACGTTGTAGCCGACTGATTGACAGCACCTTTGCGCGGAATCCATGACAATACGAACTTAACAAACTAATCAATATCAGTAATGATTTGTAAGGATTTACACTTTCAAGACTGTAATCGATCAAGCTCTATTGTCATGTTTTGTCTCATGAGCTTGTTACTTTTACATAGTGTTATTCCTAAGATTTTGGCTATGCGTTTTTAGAAGTACAATTCAAGATAAACGTTTCGAGACTCAATAACCTATCGTACCATACGTTGGGAGTTTGAAGCAAAAGGTTACTGTGCTAGAATCTCAATGTTAACATTAATACTGGGATACAATTACAAATACGACGACATGCCCGTCCTCAAATTTCATTGGTAATTACATTACAAATATACTGAAAATCAATAATTTGTTGGAAAGAAAAAAATGTTATTTCATACAACTAAATAAATCGACTTTTCTAGAATGAAAATTGAAATATTTCGGTATCTAGTGATTTTTTCAACATTCACTTGCATGTTTAACTGGCCCCCGAATGCCCTGGTACGGCCAAGATTGGGGAAAGTTAACTTTCCCGCACGAAATGCCTTAACATGGCCACACGTATACAACCACTGTCAGGGAAATCTTACTCATTGCCTTCTCGCCAAGGAAGTGTTGTTTACGAACTTTAGAGGACGGTAAGCGAATGTCCGGCACTTCAACCGGGTTGGTTGAGATGGACAACCCACCTGGGGCAGTTGGAAAACTCTGATTCCAAATCACTGGTGCACATGGGTTCTACGACCATGACGGAAGAAAAGGCGTACGAATCTATTGTTGGTCACCAGCTACCATATAACTGCATCTCCTAACGTTGCTTCACTGTCTTGTAGATTAGACCTGTAGGTCAAAGGTTCGGGGAGTGGCCCCCTACGAAAACCACTTGTTTCGGTTTGGGCAAGCAGGCAGTATGATAGCCCACACACAAATCAAGTGACTTATTTGGCGCATATGTATTCGGTGCCTTCTTGTACCAATTTTTAAATGTTTAAACAAGTGATAAAATAAATATTTAACTGTAAAGTAAAAGTACTTAATTTTTCAATACCCCATTTCTTTCGCATTGAATTCCTTATATGATCCTGATCTGACAGTTGAATGACGCGTGAAATCTCTAATTCAAGGTATTAGATTCTACTAAACAATCGGTATTAGTAAGAAGAAAACAATATTGTTTACAAATATCGAATCATAAGATATTCAAGGCGTTAGTAACTTTTCGAGATATAGTCAATAAGAAGATACGTTCTTTTTAGCGACTGAATTAGAATTCAGTTTAACATAACGAACCTGTGTCAGATTAGTACTGTGGTGTATGATGCTGATGTTGACAGATAAATGTATTATGTATCATCAATCGAAGATGAAATACCTGGTGACAGAAGGTTAATAAGATCGAAGTAGAGAGAACGACCACAGAGAATGTTTGGTGTGGAAACGAAAGAATAATGAAATCTGAGACGATTGATTGACATTTTATAAATGAGGTATTTACTGTATAGTTGTCAGATTTTACTAAGATATTCTGTAGTTGTGTGTTGAAATACATTCGATTGTCCCCACATGTGTTCTCGTTCACTACAGTACTGCTACCACTTAACGAACTTGAAGTGAGCGCAATGCTACACAACTTACAGAACTTGTTTCGAATAAACAAGTTTTCAATGAATAATACACGTAGTGAATGCTAAATAGTGAATTTGATAGAGAGGATTAAATGTCATAAATTTTCAGTCAGTCAGTCAGCTACAACATCAGATCGGGCACATATATGCATCGGTCTAATTCGCCACACCTCTTTAGCACAGCGAGACGAACACGTAATTCATATAACCAGTTAATTCAATGGTAGTAATATATAAAAGAAAGATTGCATATAATGATATGATACAGGAAGAAAGAATTAGTTGGTAGAAAGAAAGGCATAAAGTAATTTTAAACTCACGGTTTAAGGGAAGACAAAGAGTATATACACCTACGCCATTGTGATCGATGCTGAGTCATGTCACCTGGAGTCTTCAATCACTACTGGTTACAATAGTCGCTCGGACCCTAACTAAGTAGTCTGCATCTACCAACATGGCTAAGACTAGGCATATGTAACACGTGGCCGTAAATTTTAAGTGTTTTTTAGAACAATTTTAAGTGTGAAATAATTACACTCATAGGTTTTTATTCAATTCTCCTATATAGAATTAGGTAAGATTGATTAATCACTGGACAGTGACCGATGTCATGTTTGTTTAGTCTTTAGTGCTAATTGAATTCTGTCGATCCTGTTCCAATGTGAGCAATAATCTGAGTGATTCAACTTGATATTGACATTATCTTGATGCCAAGTAGTTGAAGGTAGTCAACAGGAAATCACATTCTATGTAGATTTCATGCTAGTTGGTACTTGTCAGTAAGATGTTTCTTCAGTTTAAAGAGAAATGACTCTCCCTCTATCTAATGGATTCAAGTCGAGATCGTTCGATTTCGAGTTCAGAGTTTCCTATCAACTACCTGTAATCACACAATGTACAAAACTTAGCTATTCTTATTAATTATTCAATCGGCGCTGATCGGTATAGCAAGAGCAGCATATTTACAACTGAAGAACATCTGGAACTCAAAACAACTGTCAACCAACACCAAGGTCAGAATTTTCAATACTAATTTCAAGACAGTTCCACTGTATGGGGCAGAAACTTGGAGAACTACGAAAGCCATCATTCAGAGGATACAAGTGTTTATTAACAGGTGTCTACGCAAAATACTTTTGATCCGTCAGCCAGACACTATTAGCAACAACCTACTGTGGGAGAGAACAAACCAGATTCCATCAAAGGAAGAAATCAGGAAGAAGCGTTTGAAGTGGATAGGACACACATTGAGGAAAGTACTGAACTGCGTCACAATGTAATCCATCACATGGAATCATCAAGGCCAAAGGAGAAGAGGAATACCAAAGAACATATTACACAGGGAAATGGAGACAGACATGAGAAGAATGAACAACAGTTGGTTATAACTAAAAAGGAAGCACCAGGATACAGTGGGTTAGAGAATGCTGGTCTGCGGCCTATGTTCCATTGGGGGTAACAGGCGTAAGTAAGTAGGTAATTATTCAATCGTTTATTGATTATATTCTAATAATCTTGAATTGATTACAATCTTTTGTTTTCATTTATATTTCGTGTTCATTTTCTATTTCATTGTAAACTAAAGTTTGTTCGTGGCCTTTTACAATTTTATTTACAAAATACTCTACAATTACCTACACAATCGTCAAATCTAATACAACCAGACGGTAGTAGTAGTAGTACAATGATTAGTGATACTAGTGATACTATTGTCACTACTAATGCAACACAACCGTCAATATCATCATCATTTGAAACAACTCCTATCGCTGTAACAACAACAGCTATTGACAGCCACATCAATGATAATAATATATCTAGTTCCCTCGTAATAGATAACAAGACAACTGATACATTGAAGCTAACTACAGATTCCATTGATATGAACACTGGCAATAATTCATCGATATTACCATACAATACAGAACAGATATCTAAAGATCCTTCCTTTATTCAAGATGACAACGAACATTTGTGTAACTCCTTCGAACAATTGAATACAGCAATTATAAAGAAATTCAATAATATTACTGATAATAATAGTAGTAAGTTAGAAGGGAAAATATTTTATTAAATTGTCTTTAAACAATGTATTTTGCGAATTACATTTCGAATAATCCAGTCACACATGCACACACACACACACTTGTGAAGGTTATGATTCAGTACATCCCGGACGAGTCCAAACTTTCCCTGCTTCAGTTTGGGCACCTCGGGCAGTATCCCAGCTCTCACACAAATCGAATGATTTATGTGACGCATATCTGTTTGATGCCTCCTTGTATCAATGTTTATATGTTTAAATAAATAAATACAGTACATAACTTGAATAGGACTTATAGATTATATAACCTAACTATAACTGTCAGCTTATTGGCAAATTCATCGTGTCTCCGAAGATTTAATCAGATGGCATGATTGGTCCAAACATGTCGGAAGTGAAATAATTGTTACTAAAAACATTGGATAGTTATCGCTCTATATCTCCTAAATCTGAATTTATGTCATTTGACACTGATATTACAGTCCCAGTGGTTAAAAGTTTGCCGTTAGACGTTGTTCTAAACCCTAATATGATGGTAGGTGGGTACTGTTGAGGAGTTCCATGGTAGTACGAAATAACTATCCAGTGCTCCTTGGTTTTCAATGGTCTGTCAACTAAAATCAGTTTGTGATAAATACAACTTACGAATCAAACCAATCCACACAAATCCCCATTTCCAGTGGAGCTAATCCTTGTCGGGTAGAAACAGGTGTCTATCTCAGTACAATGGAAGATGGTCGCGCAGTTTCGTGGATTGGTTGAGGTTAGACATTAACACCATTGGATGCCGGCTCAGTGGTCTGGTTGGTTAAGCGCCTGGCGCGAGACTCATAGGTTCTGGGTTCGAATCTTGCGGGGTGCGGGATCGTGGATGCGCACTGTTGAGGAGTCCCATGCCCTGACGAAACGGCCGTCCAGTGCTTCCAGGTGGTCTAGCTTCAGTTGACTCATGATTTCAACCAAAAATATTAGGAAGTTGTCACACAATTTTTAACAATAAAAATGGATTAGAAATTGTCAAGGAAAATTCGATGTTTAGGACAAAGAGTTTGTGTAAATATAAAATAGGTTTGACAATGCTTATACAACCTTTAAAAGTTTATTTTTTTAAGGTTAATTCTATGGTAAATTTTAATTATGTGTTTCGTTATCGAGGAGTATGTTTTTGTTCTACTCATTATTCTCATCATTGTACTTGACACTAATTCTAAATAAATCCAATTAGGCACATGTTTAACGTTATTCAGCTCCGTTACATTTTGACATTACATGGACTTTTACAAATGAATAATCATTGGGTGGTAATCAGTGTCATGTATATCAGGTACTTCTTAGTGCATATCGAATCCTGTCGACCAAGTTGCAATACGGCCACTAATCTAGGTGACTCGACATTATGTGCACTATGTTGAGATAAGATAGTGGTTGGAAGTAGTCAACAGGAAACTCTGTTGACTGACTACCTCCAACCACCATCTTATTACATGGACTATTTGTTTTAAGAGTAATGATAAAAACACAAGTGATCTAAGCATGTTACATGTTGATTACAGTGTATTTATGAGTGTAAAGTTCTATGCTTTATGCTTATTATCAAAATATATGAAATGAAACTCATCCTAAATTCATATGGTGTTATTAAACTCTTTTTCTTACGTTATGACCCAGCTATTCCTATTGCTTAGTATTTTCGGACACCGATTCACTTGACAAGTCCCCAAATCAGAACACGGTTGAACAGGAAAGAGATTATATTCCAACTAACAAGGTTAGATGGAAGTAAGAAGCAAGTAATAAGCACAATAGGGAAAACGTTAGTATATTTATAGTTTTTACATGAGTAGATTCTAGAGTATTCTCCAAGTATCGACTAGTGCTAATTGGATAAGAATTAGCCAATCAGCGTGCAGCAAAGCAATCATGCATTGAGCATACTTTAATTCAGTCTATGTCCCACTAACACATGATATTATTAACTTGAATCTTCCCATTGATGTTTAGGACTGCAATTGATCAGTCTCTCATGGCATATTGTACGTATTGGCTCGATATCGATTTAATTCACAAGTATTCTAGTTCCAGAGTGAATATCAACTCTGAGATGCAAATACATCTAGCTGACGAGTCCAAAATAGGACAAAATGCGCATCCTGGTTACCACTGCTAGCCACTATCTATATTTGCTTATGAAACGCATTATGTTTTCTCTTTCCTTCTCACATTACAGTTTGAACCAGTAGTCATATAAAATGAAATGTTCTTTTATGTTCAAATTCTATTTTCATATTTAGTTCCTTCTAAATTGGCTCGTTTAGACCCTCAATTATTGTATACTTTAGCGGCACAACGTATTTATGATCTCTTGGGTATTAACAATGAAAATTCTATTTTTCCTAATGAAGACAATATTAAACAGAATAGTTGTAAAACAAAGAAAGACACTTCTAAAACATTGAATATTCCTGAAAGTTGTATCCGTGCAAGAGCTGTACTAACACCTTGTGATGGGACTAATGGATATGAAACTCGAATGCATTATAGGCAATTGACTGTTGGTACATGTAAGTTTTGTTTTTAGTTTCATAACTTAACTGCTTATAAGTAACAGGTTTATTTATTACAAAATGTATTTTAAACAGCAGTTACATCAATTTTCAATATACTTCCTTACTTACGCCCGTCAATGACCCTTATGGAGGAGCATAGGCCACCCACCGGCACTCTCCATCCAACTCTGTTCTGATCAGTCCTATCCAGTTGTTTCCAGTTGCTATTCATCTTTATCATATCTGTTTCTGATTTCTGACGCAGTATGTTCTTTGGCTCTCCTCTTTTCCGTTTCCCTTCAGGATTCCAGGTTAGCGCTTACCGCGTAATGCAATTTGATGGTTTCCGTAATGTATGTCCTATCCACTTCCAACGTCTTTTCCTAGTTTTCTTTTCAGCTGGGACTTGGTTTTTTCCCTCCCTCAGTAGGCTATTTCTGATGGTATCCGACTGATGGATATTGAGTACCTTGCTTAGACAACTATTTATAAATACTTGTACCTTCCTGATGATGGTTGTAGTAGTTCTCAAAGCTTCAGTTCTGTACAGACGGACTGTGTTGACGTTCTTATTAAAGATTGTGACTTTGATATTGGTTGAGAGCTGTTTTGAGCTGCATATATTCTTCAACTGTAGGAATGCTGTCCTTGATTTGCCAATCCTTGCCTTTACGTCTGCGTCAGATGTTTCTTGTTCATCGATGATGCTTCTCAGATACGTGAAAGATTCCATCTCTTCCAGAGCCTCTCCATAAAGTATAATTGTGTTGGTCTTCTCCGTGTTATATTTGAGGATTATTTGTGTATGCTGAAACCCACTGATGCAGAGCCTGCTGCTGCACTGTTTGTTTTGACGTAAATTTGTTCGTAATATACTTCCTGGCGTATAGTAATCAGTTTTGAAAGTCAACCTTTGTGAGATCCAGTTTTACCCTATATTGACCAGTCAATATCACTAAAGATAAGTAACCGTTAAACTTAAAAGGTTAGAGGTGGGAAAGCGTATTCTGCTTCAAGTTACTCAGCTTGATAGCTTGGGACTTTGTCGGCAAACTTTACAAGTCCAACTAACTTCTTGTGAGAATGAGATATTTACATTCATTGATGACTTAGCAACGGCAAGTAATGTTATATTTGTTTAATCCTTCAAACTTATTAAGCTATGTTAATCAAGGTACAAATAACATGAAATGCAGATGCTTAGTTTCCTTTTGATTACCTCTAAACCATCTAACATCAAAACATAGTCCACACTATGTTAAATTATTAAAACAAGTGGTGGCTACATTGAAACTTGATTGATAGAGTTCAATCAGCAAATAAATAATCCAGGAAAACACAACATGAATCACCACTCAGTGAATAATAAGCACAACTAACTATCTAAAATTCCGGTTGATGGATATGGAGGATCCGCCTATGGAAGTTGGAAAACTTTGACTCCAAACCAGTGGTGCACATGGGCTCCAATATCCTGAGTAAAAAAATGGCGTATGAACCAATTGTCGGTCACCGGCTTTCATGGGACTGCATCTATTAGCGTTGCTTCCATGCTTTGTGGATCACACTTTCTGGTTTAAGTCTCCGGGTATGGCAACCTAAGGAAACCACCCGGTTTTGTCTGAGCACCCTTCAGTCAGTTGTGATTTTAATGAACATACGTCATCTTAGTGGTTTTTTAATCAAATTTAAAGGTTTGTGAAGTTCATTTTGTATGTGAAAGTAATTTTCATTGTAAACTGACACATCCATTGGCAATTTTTTTGTAAATCGAGGACGGTTACCTCAAAGCCAGTGTTTCATAAATGTAACACATACAATTATCATCAGTATCCTGGATCACATTGATCGAATACAGAGAGGTCTCCGAACATCTTCATTTCAGGGAATGTGGGTACTAGGTCTTATAAACATAAATTCAAAAATAATCCCATCAAAACGTTGTATACTCAACTGTTTACAGTCAAATTCATATCATCTCCCATATTATCATCAGCTCTTACATTATTAACTAGATATATAAACCTCTGAACAATTTCTTAGGTCTTACTACAATTAATAACTTCAGACACAGATTTCTTCCAGCTAATAGTTCAGAGTACATCTCACACTTGTTATTTATTTATTTATTTATTCAAACATATAAGCATTGATACAAGGAGGTACCAGACAGATATGCGCCACATAAACCATTCGATTTGTGTGAGAGCTCGAGGTGCCCAAACCGAAGCAGGTGATTTTCTTAGGTAACCACACACAGAGCTTTCGACCTAAAGGTCTAATTTATTTATTTATTATTTATTTATTTGAACACATAAATATTGGTACAAGAGAGCGCCAATATATATGCGCCACACAAAACAATGGGAATTCGAAGAGAAGTAAAAAGAAAAAAAAACTAAGGAACGCAAAAGAAAAAGAGAGTAATGACGAAGAGGTACAATCAGAAGAAATCTTTCAGGTAAGGGAGACAGAACCACTTTTTATGAAGAAAGTAAAAGAAGGTTACAGCAGGATCGCCACTGGCTTCTATTCTGAGCCATATCTGATAACGTCTCTAGCCACTGTGTAGCACCATCTCTCGGACCCCAGCCAGGGAGTCGTGAAGGACCAACACAAGCCAGTCCTTTGCAGCTTTCTTTCATGCCACGACACCATGTCATGCACTGACCACCTCTCCGCTTCTTCCAACCAGTCCCAGAGTCGGCAAATAATGCACGACGTGGAATTCTCTGGGACGACATTCGGAGAACATGTCCAAGCCACCGAAGTCGATGTTTCAAGATGGTGACACCAATTGAGTTATCATCTCTGTGCCCGAACACACGATGCCGAACCTCTGCATTACTGACATGGTGTTGCCACTGAATGTCAGCAATCCTTCGGAGACAGCGATGATCGAACACAGAGAGTCGTCTAACGTCCTCAACTCGGAGAGGCCAGGTTTCACAAGCATAGAGCAAAACTGCTCTCACCGACGCGTTGTAGATCCGGCCTTTTACAGCCAGACTAACATCACGAAGGCGCCATAGATGGCCCAGATTGGCATAAGCCGCTCTGGCTTTCACTATTCGTGCATTGATCTCATCACTCACACCCCCACCAGCACTTATGCAGCTACCCAGATACACGAACTTCTCAACTACGTCTATCTGCTCACCGTCCAGGGTGAGTACAGGATTAGAATCCTGCCAGTCTTGTAGAAGTACTTTGCACTTCGAAGGTGCAAAGCACATACCATACCTACGGACATTGATTGCCAACTGATTAAGTGCAGATTGCATGCCTTGGGCATTATCGCACAGTAAGACAATATCGTCCGCATACTCAAGGTCGAGAAGTCTTTCTCCAGGCAACAGATCCACACCACCATTACTTACATTCATCAGAGCTGTTTCCAGAATGTCATCGATGGCAAAGTTGAAGAGGAATGGTGAGATTGGGCAACCCTGCCTAACCCCACTGCTCGAATGGAACAATGGAGAGAGGTGGTTGTATGCCCTCACTCTGCCTGAGGTGTTTTTATACAGGGCTTTTAGGATGTTAATAAACTTCTCAGGCACACCCTTCTTCAATAGACAATCCCAGAGAACAGTCCTATCCAACGAATCGAAGGCAGCCCTGATGTCAAGAAACACTACGATTGTTGGCCTTTGAAAAGTATGGCGGTGTTCTAACATTTGGCGAAGGGTGAAGATATGATCAATACATCCTCGACCAGAACGAAACCCAGCCTGCTCCTCGCGAGTCAATCTTTCTCGGGTTTTGAACAACCTACGAAGAATGACGGAAGCCAATAGCTTGGACGCAATCGGAAGTAAACTTATCCCCCGATAGTTGTTACAAGAACGACGTGAACCCTTTTTAAAGATAGGGACAACTATCGACTCATTCCATGACGTTGGTACACTCTCTAGTTCCCAAACCTTTGTAAACAACGTCGTCAATTCCTTAGTCAAAAAGTCACCACCATCTTTAAAAAGAGCCGGAGGTAAGTCATCTGGGCCAGGTGATTTGTAACGCTTCAAGAGTTGGAGTTCCTTGCGGACTTCCTCCTCATTTGGTGGATCAGTCGTCACCGGCCATGGAGGGCAGGACAGTCTGACCGATGTTGCCGGAGCAGCAGGCCAGTTGAACTGCCCTTCGAAAAATTCTGCCCATCGTCCAAGACGTCGATGGATGTTAGTGATTGGCATCCCATCATCCTCGCAGATTGTTTCACTCACACCAGACTTCTTGCTGCCAGTGGCTCGGATGAGTTGGAAGAGCTTCCGGTAGTTACCAGATGCAGCTGCTGCTTCCAGCTCATTAGCACGCATCGACCACCAGGCTTCTCGGTCCTTACGCAAGCTTTGCCCAATTTCAGTACGTAACATCCTTCGTTTATGGTCAAACTCACGGTTACCCGGAGTAGACCGACGGGCTTCAATGAGTTGTAAGGAACCAGAAGAAACCCAGTGCTTAAAAGCGGGACGTTTCGCAAACCCACAACTGACTGTTCCCGCCATTTTCATGGCGTCATGCAATTGCAACCAATGCTCATCTATACTTTTCGGTGGAGTGGTAGCTAGCCTAGAGGCTAGCTCGGTTCGATACTTACTTGCAACAGAAGTTGCAACCAGCTTGCTAACATCAATCCGTTGATGGCGTTCACTTCGTTGTCCACTGAAAAGTAAGGCAAGATTGGCGCAGACCAAGGCATGATCAGAGTCCAGATAGGTACTCCAAAAGGAGCGGCAGTCTTGTACACAACCACGCCAGCGGTAGCTGATCGCGATGTGATCAATCTGAGTCCAGGCTTGAGATGCAGAGGGAGGACGCCAGGTGGCACATCGGCGATGACTGTGCCGAAAGTTAGTGCTAGCCAGAAACAGGTTGTGGTCTGTGCAAAGTTGCAGTAGACGGTCCCCGTTATCTGACCTGCGACCAACGAGTCCCCATCGGCCACCTAAACGACTCTCTTCTGTGCCTAGACGCCCGACCTGAGCATTCAAGTCTCCGGCTAGTACTACAATATCTGTCGAACGCACTTTCTGGAGAAGAACTGATAACTGATGGTAAAACTCATCCTTGATTGCATCCGGGCTGCAATCTGTCGGGGCATAGGCGGAGATGACGAAAAGACATCGTTTCTCACGCCGATTTCTTCTCACTTTGATGGAACTTTCTAATCTAACAGCACATAACCGACTGTTAATGGGGATCCAATCGACTAGTGCTGCCTCAGCTCTAGCGCTTAGTGCGACACCAACGCCAGCAAGACCAGACGAAGATGCCACAGGGTCCCCGGATAAGCGCACGTAAAACAAGCTTTTCGAAGCGACAGACGGAGATCGAATTTGTAGTACTTCGCCAGAGTCTTGAATACGGGTCTCGGATAGACAACACACGTCGATATTAAGACTTTCCAAAGACATAGCCAGCCCTATCTGTTGTCCGACCTGCATAAATGTGCGAACGTTGAAGGCAGCCAGTTTGAATGGTGCACGTGGTTTCAGAAAATCTGCTTCAGTCCTCGTATTCGGTGGTAACATACAATTTTCAACCGGACAGTGACTCGAGAACGTTTAGATACAGTCGGAATTCCACCAAAGACGAGCCGCTGTATAAGTATAAAAGAAGGTGAATAATGTGGAAAATAATAATAATAATGATAATAATAACAATAATGACAATAATAGTAGTAATAATAATATTAGTATTAATAATGACAATAGTTGTAATGATAATAATCTGAATCAATTGTTTGTTTTTCAAAGCGACAAAAGTAATTTCCATAGACGTAAAGAGTTCATCATTTGTGTGTGGGCTGTGATACTGCCCGGGTGCCCAAACCGAAGCAGGTGGTTATCTTAGGGGGCCACTCCCCGAGCCTTCGACCTAAGGGTCTAACCCACAAGGCAGTGGGGCATCGTAAGGAGATGCAGTCCCATGGTAGCCGGTGACCAACGATTGGTTCATACGCCATTCGTTCCCGCAGGATACTGGAGCCCATGTGCACCATTGATTTGGGAATCCGGTTAAAGCGCCGGACATTCGCTTTTCGTCCTCTCATTTTCGTAAACAACACCCCCGCCACGAGAAGGCAATGAGTAGGACTTCCCTGGCAGAGGCTGTATACGCGTGGCCGTGTGAGAGTATTTCGAGAGGGAGAGCGGACTCTCCCCACTCTCGGCCGTACCAGGGCATTCAGGGTCTAATCCACAAGATAGTGGAGCATCGTCAGGAGATACAGTCATACGGTAGCCGGTGACCAGTAATCAGTTCATACGCCACTCGTTCCTGGAAACAATGTACACCATTGGTTTGGAATAAGGGTTTTCCAAATCCCCTGGAGGAATCTTCCACATCCGTCAACCCAGTCCAATCACCGGATATTCTCTTTTCGCCCTCTCGATTTCGTAAATAAAAGTAATGCCACGAGAAGGTAGTGAGTAGAACTTCCCTTAAAGTAGTTGTATGCACATAATCATGTGATAACATTTCGAGAAGGTTAGCTGACTCTCTTAACCCTCGACCATATCAGGACATTCATAGAGGCCTTATACTTGTTAACATTGATCATCAACTGATTAGAAACTATTCACTAATATATTACATCATATATTTCATTTACATTCTCTTTTTCTTTTACTTCACTTTCTCTATAGCACCGGATTGTCATTTATGTTTAGCTAATTATAATTTATCTTCATTAAATAATCAAAAATGTTCATTTATATCACCACATCATGCTACAATCTTCTATGATGATTGGACACAACATTATGAATTAATTAACTATAGTGAATATGGTACACGTGTAGATGGTATTATATATGGGAATGATATAGATAGAAAATTAATTTATATTCCAGAAGTAAGTTTAATGTTTTCTTTTATTTCAATTAAACTTTCAATGGTTGAGATCATAAAAGTCATTTGAAGGCTAGATCACTATGGAAGACTTGAAATCACTAAATGGTCATTTTGCCCTATTGTGAAACTTTTCGACAGTGCTCATCCACGATCTCGCCTCGCATGGTTCGAACTCCAGGATCTATCAATCTTGCGCGTGAGCACTTAACTACTAGACCACTAAGCCGACCGGCATCCAACGGTGTTAATGTCTAATTTCAACTAATCCATGAAATTTAGCGAACTATTATAATAATAATGATGAAACTATAATTTATCAATGAACCAATCAGGCATTGAATTCTGGGCGCCGAATTCATTCATTCAATTTGGTTAAATAGAGTTTTGGCATTATAACTTATATCAGTTCATGATGTAAACCTTCACATTGGTGTATAACTCTCATTTAATTCTAGTTAGTATGTGTGCGTTCTCAAAGTCACTTTAGTGTTGGTCAAAGGTCGTCCATAAATTATGGTCTCACCGGAAATTCTTTTCATTGCCAAGAATGATTTGTTCATGTTATGATGAAGTTGAATTATTAACATTTCGCTTTATATCAGAAGGAGGTTTTGTGGAAATTGCAATAATTTATTAATTGAGGACATGAGTCGATCAAAGTTAGATCATCATGCAAAACCTGAAAGCACTGAAAGTCTGTTTTGTCCAATTGTGGGTTTCCTCAGCAGTGCGCATCCATAATTCCGTCGTGGGATTCGAGCTGAGGTCAAGCCATTAGTAATACAAAACAGTCCAGTAGTAAGTGCATAATTAATTAACAATGATTCTGGTACAATAAAGCACTAACAATTAATAAGTTAAATAGAAATCTTATAATTTTAATAGTTGAGATCATGAGTCATTTGAAGCTAGACCACCACCATAGAAAACCAAGAAGCACTGGTCATGGATGCGAACTACTGAAGAGTCCCACAGTAGGACGAAACGGCCATCCAGATGATGTAGAACCTGGTACATGTATGCATCAGAACAATTTTTAACTAAGAATCAAAACAGCTAAGTGAGATTTTCAAGCGGGAGATCGGAGTAGTAGTCGTGGTAGTAGTAATATTAGTGGCAATAAAAAGCAGACATAGAGAATACAATTCGAGAGTGATTTCACTTTTCAGGATCTAAGCAAAGACAAATAACGAATACATTTTGACCATTAGAAAAAATGTTAAGCCATTTCACCAAACATTTCTAGCCACTGATCTCACCTATTATGTGAACCTCAATCAGGTTGTTTGCACCTACCTATTAACATAACCCAGTCTAATAGGAAATAGATCCGTGGACTGATTCCATATCTTTGTTTAGCTACCACTGGGAATGGGACACGTTGGTACTATTGGTTAATCCATTAATGTAATTTGTTTCCTACTTTATTCATAATCTTCTAGATCTCTACAATTACTACTCTTCATCTTACTCTCTTTCTCTCTCTCTTTCTCTCCATATGCAAACACAATTTTAGTCTTCTGATCTTGTTCATCGAGTTCGTAATCTCATAAAAACTGCTCCTAAAGAATTATCACCAAATTATCAAACATCATCGGTTATTTCAGAACTCTGTGATTCACCGCCTAAACGTCTAATGAAAATGTTAAGTAAACGACATGAAGTAAGTGAAATTAACTTATTTAAAATTTATTTTTATTATATCAATGAAAAAAGAATTATTTTTACAAGTGTTAGATCTTTTTTAGCCTCCAAGTCACCCGATTGAAATACTCACGAAGTTTCCAAAACAACGATTTGTGTACAATAGCGGTTCATTATTGAATAATACACAAAATTTAGTTACAAACCTTAACTTGTGAGGTGTCTGGGGCGTTTAAATGCGTCCTTTAAGTATGAAAATAAAAAGGCTTCCTGTAACAGTAACATAAAGAATAATTATAACATACGATAGTACAAAAGATAGCTGATAGCTGTGTCAAATGTCGATAAGAGTTTATCAACAAGCAAAGAGGGGAACCTACTTATTTACTTACGCCTTTTACCTGTCGTCGAGTAGCATAGGCTGCCCACCACCATTCTCCATTCATATCTCTTCTTGGCAATCCTTTCCACTTTTTTCCCATTTGCTATTCATCCTTTTTCATGTTTGCCTCCGATTCCCGACTCAATGTGTTCTTTGACCTTCCTCTTTTTCGTCAAGGTCTTCATACTCCTGTCGAACACCACCAGAAAAAAGGAGAAAGAGGGAGAGTAGGCAACAAATTTAACAACTTGTATAACTAAGCTCATTTCATGATATAAACTATAAAATCAAACTTTTTAGTAGTAATTTTGTAGATTTTATTTCTAATGTTTACTGTTAGACATGAATAACCTAGTTGCGATCTCATGGTATAGAGGTGATTGTACATGTACATACCATAATGTCGACACATTTCGAATGAGAATAAAATATTTTTATTCAATGATTATTAGTTTATATTGTTTTTCCAACTTTAAGTTAGTTGCTATGGTGCGAAATTACATATTGTATAATAGAGCTAAAAAGTTGTCTTTGTGAAATATTGTTCTCGAATGCCCTGGTGTGACCGAGGGTGGAGAGAGTTCACTCTCCATATAGAAACGCTCTCAAATGAGCACGCGTATACAACCACTGCCTTTTCGTGGTGAGGGTGTTTTTTGCTAAATTAAGAGGACGAGAAGCGAATATGGATTAGACCACTGGTCAAAGGCTACGGGTGTATCCCTCTAAGAGAACCACTTGCTTCCGTTATAGCACCCGGGCATTATCCCTCACACAAATCGAATGATGAATTGTGATGCATATCTATTTGGTGCCTCCTTGTACCTATGTTTATGTGTTTAAATTATGTGTATATTCCTTAATGCAAACTGAAAAAGTAAGACATTGTGATAGTCTAATTAAATGTTTTCCAGTAAATTGATAAGAAATCCTTGAATCCTAAATTTACCATTCAACAGCAAGTCGTATTTACACTTTTAAAAACTCGCATGCTCCTCTATGGATTTAAATGGATATTATTCAATAGAAGATATCATCATTGGAACCCGTTCACTACTTAGGTCTCAGTCGGTTATACGACAAACTCACTCGTTTATTATTATTTTATTTAACCACATGAAAATTGATACGGGGAGTCACCAAACAGATATTCTCCACATAAATCATTCAATTTAAGTGAGGGCTGAGATTGCTTTCCAGGTGCCCGAACCCAAGCAGGTGTATTTCTTAGGGGGCTACATCCCAAGCCTTTGACTTACAGATCTAATCCACGAGGTAGTGGAGCAACGTCAGGAGATGCAGTCCTATGGTAGCTAATTACCAACAATCAGTTCATACACCTTTTGTTCCCTCAGGATACTGGAACCCATGTGCAGCATCGATTTGAAATGAGGGTTTCTTTAACTGCCCCAAATGAATTCTTCATATCCACTAACTCATTTAAAGCGTCGAACATTCACTTTTCATCTTCTTCATTTCATAAACAACAACCCCTTAACGACAATATAGTGAAAGTAGTATTCTCAATCATTTTTATTATCCTCATTTATACCTATTCCCTTTTTTCTTTTTCTTTTATATACTTTACCAGGATTTATCACATGTGACATCTATATGTGATTGTACAAGTTTACATTTTACTCAAAATGATAAATTTCTAGTAGATAAAACAGATTCATCATTCGATTTAATCACTGGTTGGGAAGGTTCCGCTATTTTAAGACATGGTTCAATGATACAATTTGGTTGTTATAAATTTATTTTTAGTTTAGTCAATCATTCTTTACCTTCCCATCCATCATCAACATCATCATCGACGTCAACATGGATGACAATCAATAATAGTTCAACACAATCTTCTTCTTCGCATGAATCACCAGTACTACTTACAGATTCTTTATCAGTAGTAACAAAAGATTTTTTAAAATTATCTAAAAATAACAATTTACTTGTTCATTAATTTTTAAAAAGTGATTTAATAAATCAAACGAACAAAAAAAGAAAGAAAGAAAAAAGAGAGAAAACGATATAACCAGTATCATCATTCATATGAATTTATACTACTTATAAACTACTTATATATAGATATATAATTTTGTATATTTGTGTTATATAAAACTTATGATTACAATTATTATTATCGTATTTTAACTAAATAACATCTCTTTTATCATTCATTGTCTTGATCTGAAATGGAAATGATCACTGCATAGTCAGTCAGTTAGTTACAACGTAGGACCAGGCACATATAAACATCTGTCCAAGTTGCCATACCTCATTAGCACCGCAAGATGGACACTGAATTCATAGGAGTGGTTTAGACAGTCGTGGTAATATATAAAATAAAGATTGCATATAAAGGATATAGTACAGGAAGAAAGTATTAGTTCGTTAGAAGAAAGATATAAGGCGATTTTAATCTCTTAGTTTAAAAGAAGACAAAGACTGCATACAACTACGCCATTGTCATCGATTTTGGTGTAGTTTTGTTCTCTGAGCTGGATGATTTGGTCGTGGAGCTTTCATCGTTTTTCTGAACGACATCATCAACACAAACTTCAGATAGAAGTGAAGTGTTCGAATTTCTCCATATGTCTTTCTTAGCTTGTTCTGTGCACCTCGATGTTGATCGGTTCTTATTGACCTTAAATTTGTCGTTGTTTACTTCTTTGTTTTGGTTGTGTCTCCCATTGGTTTGAGTTTTGTTCCTATATTTATGCATGATTTTTCTGATTGATTGATAAATTGGATTGGTTTCAATATGTTTGTTGATTGCTGATTGACCTGAGTGCCAAGCTTCTAAAAATTCTCTGATGTTTTTGGAGTTTCCTCTGTCTAGGATTTCTACATTTTCCCAATCGAATGAATGTCCGTAGTTATCCACGTGTATTGATATAAATGAAGAGATATCATGTCGTGTGACTGCTAATTGATGTTCACGTAGGCGTAGGTGGAGGGGGAGTCCACTTCATCCGATGTAGTCTTTGTCATACTTGGTGAAATTTATATTGTAGATGAGGTTTGATTTGTTTTCCTTTGTTATTACATCCTTTGGATTGCATAGAATTGACTATGGTGATTTTGTTGGTCTGTGTGCCACACATATCCCAAACGTTTTCAGCAGTCTCGTAACGAGACCACAATTCGCAAAAATACAACTCAACCACCAACCCACTCAACCAATCACTCACTAACTCCATCATACGCACACACAACACCATTAGTCATTCACAATCTTTACTGAGGTTGGCATGTTTCCAAATATAATCACTGAATACACCCAAAATCTTCACATGCACGCACACATACACACACAATTTGTAAATCCTGTGAATCGCTTGACGTCTAGTTTCCGAGTGTATAGATGTTAAGAAGGTGGGAGAGTGGAGAAACGTGTGCGTGAGTACGACGATAACGACGCTAACGATCGACATGAGAATGTGGAGGAGAGAAGAGGAGAAGAAAATGTGAGAACACTGTCGTGTGTATCAATCAATCAATCACACACAAACAGATATACAGGATCAGTGGAATATAACTTGTTGGTACTGCATCCACTATCCACATAGTATTAAGCATAAATCAAGTCAGGTCAACCACTGATTGATCAATGTCAATTGAAAATCACAGAATTTCTAAACATCAACAAATTAAACCACGTCCATCCATGTTGTCCTACTTGTAAAATTCGCGGTCAACCGAGTTGACTGATTGTGGTTTGTATTCGATTGGGACAATGTAGAAATCCTAGACAGAGGAAACTCCAAAAACACCAGAGAATTTTTAGAAGCTTGGCACTCAGGTCAATCAGCAGTCAACAAACATATTGAAATCAATCCAATTTATCAATCAATCAGAAAAATCATGCATAAATAAGGGAATAGAAATCAAACCAATGGGAGACATAACCAAAACAAAGAAGCAAACAACGACAAATTTAAGGTCAATAAGAACCGATCAACATCGAGGTGCACAGAACAAGCTAAGAAAGACATATGGAGAAATTCGAACACTTCACTTCTATCTAAAGTTTGTGTTGATGATGTCGTTCAGAAGAACGATGAAGGCTCCACGACCAAATCATCCAGCTCAGAGAACAAAGCTCCACCATAATTGTTATTGTCATATCCTCCTCCTCATCCTCTCATACCACCTTTGTTTGTTTCTATGATTGCTTTAAATAATAGTTGTTTTATGAAATTTGAATATGTCATTGATTAATTCTTTTATTTAAATGGAATATAATTTTGAGTAATAAAATTGGGCATTGAAATTGTAGACTATTTATTATTAGAAAAAAAATTAATTTAATCGTTGAATTCATAAGACAATTGATGTTTGACCAAACATTGAAAACTTGAAAGCATTGAACGGTCGTTTCATCCTAATATGAGACTCCTCAACAGTGTGCATTCATGATCCTGCTTCGAAACCAGGACCTGTCAGTTTTGTGCGTGAGCACTTAACTTCTATACAGTTAAGCCGGCCGGTATCCAACAGTGTTAATGTCTAACTTCAACCAATCAACGATGTTGCCCCACCGTCCATCATTGTCACCAAGGTGTTACTATCTCATAACAGACCTGGTTAAACAGCACTGCTCATGACTTTCCACTAGAACTCCAAGAAATCCATCTTGGAAACAGTCACTACTGAGCATATGATGATTATAATCAGAGAAGGAGTTTCGTGAATATTATAGTAATTTAGTAATTAAATTCATGAGATAATTAAATCTATACCAACTACGGAAAACCTTGAAGCACTGGACAGACGTCTCATTCTAATATGGCACCCCACATCAGTGAGCATCCACGATCTTACATGTCGTACTCGAACTCGGGACCCTCCGTCTCACGCGCGAACGCTAAACCACTAGGCTACTGTATATTTCATAAATATTTAAGAATTATAAAAATATGCATTTCGATTATGCAATGAGAAAACGAAGATTATCAGTGATAATGAACGGGATGAAAAGGCGAACCCAGATTCTTCTATCCATTGTGACTTTTGTTAGTCTCATGGTAGCCGGTGGCCAACAATAGATTCATACGCCATTTTTTCTTTCAGGATCCTGTGGCCCATGTGCAAAATTGGTTTGTAATCAGGGTTTTCCAACTGCCCTAGATGGATCCACCAACGAAGACTATCAGTGATATGACAGGATGAAAAGGCAAACTCAAGCTGCTGTGTTTGTTTAATAGAGGATGTTCTTGTATCATATTAATATGGGCTATGCTCAAAATGATAAGTAGCACGTGATTTGTTATAATTCTGTGTATTTTCCACGGATGTGATTTCATCCTGATCGAAAAAGGTGTAGAAATCAATATCTTAATGAGGTCACGATCCCGCCTCCCCCGAGATTCGGACCCAGCACCTATCAGACTCGCACGAGCGTTTAACCATTAGACCACTGAGCCGGCCGGTATCCAACGGTGTTAATGTCTAATATCAACCAGTTAATTAGGCGCTTTATCAAACCGTGTTTGTATTGCACAGGGCAATAAATATAATAACCAAGGTATTGACCTGTCCATGTCGGTTTTCTAAAAATGAATCGTTTGATTGAGGCATCACCTCATCTATTTAGAAGTATATCTAGGTCATTCAATAAAGGTCAGGATGATTTGCAGTAAAGTGTTCAGTCATAATAAGTGACTAAGTGTTGTAGGAAAATTGAAAATGCAAAAAATTTTGTGTTAATGAAATGCACAGTCTGAGAATTGAATCTTGTCAATCGACATAATAATAATAGTGATCATAAGGACAATAAATAAGAATAACATTGTAAATGTTCATTGATACAGTTGACCTAATTCATATTGATACGTTGAATGTCGATAGATCTTTGTTGAGTCAGTCAGACGACGTAGGCTTGTTCATTGACACTTCATGAAACTAATAATTCAAATGATTGTCAAAATTGGTTACATTCATAATGTCTAGATATAGTTCAGGTTTCATATTACGCCGGTGAACAATATTCACACTGGACTGATTAAACACACACTAGTTTTTATTGTCATAATTTTAAAAGGCAGAACTACAGAGAATGTTCAGGTGAAAACAATAAACCGTTTCAATGGATTTTCAAATTAACCGCATTGAAATCTAACGCTTTCTAGTTCTTCTTAAGAATGACTATTTAAAATATGAACATTCTGTAAATATTTAGTGCCTATTTAGGAAAAATTATTACTTCATCAAATGATGGACACATGCATCTATATACTCTTGGTCCTACGTTGTATCAGACTGACTGACTGACTGAACTGAACTGAACTGATCAATTCATCACCGTAACTGATATTTTGAAATGTCGAGAGTTTTCTACTAGCTCACCATGGACTGGTAATTGGTTGACTTTGGTTGTTGAGATCCTTCAATGAAAATATGTTTGTCTGTTTTGAAACTTCTTTATACCAACCTATTACTGTATTCAATCAACAAGTTTTGAATCAAATGATACATTTAGTAAACACTTTGGAAGTTTATTATGATACTAAGATAAGACTATAATTTATGGATGAATCAATCAGATTTAAGATAACAGGTCTTGGATGTTGGCGCAAAATTCAATCATCCATTTGGTTAAATAGAGTTTTACCATTATAGCTTATGTCTGTTCGTAATTAATCCGCCCCGTTAGGTCTAAATCTTAACCTTTAACAAACAACTGTGAATCATAATCTTTTTTTCTTCACACAGCTTTATTATCCTCATTTAGCTTTAGTAATTAGGTGGACATGCTGAAAGTTCATTTTGGGGTCACTCAAAGGTCATCCATAAATTATAGTTTCAACTATAATAGAATATTGCTTACTAATCTATCGACGAAATAAGTAGTATTGTCATGTCATTTGAAATTTCTCAAAGGGACAGCCGATTATATGGAGTGACTTATCGGTCGGACCAAGGATTCAGCATCTCGATAGTCTATTCTGGTCCGTTGTCCCCAACTCTGCTAACTCGATCAAAAAGTCTGGGTAAGGTGTAGAAAGTGTATTCTACAGATACCAAACTTGAACTGTTACTTGAGCAGCAGCTAAAATTGATGCAAATTTTAATGGAGATCAAGGTTACGCCTCCCTTACAGCCAAGCACGTCTAGTTCAACCACGGCACCATCAGTAGATGGCATCGCAAATAGCATAGCTGAA